TGCTGCCAGGACGTGTCCCCTTTCAAAAGACTACTGTTCCCCTCCTGACAGAGCTATGGCACACAAAGGACTCCGGGAGTCTGACTGAGAGCATAGGAGAAATCAAGTGGCAGAGGTGTTAGAAGGCTGGGATGAAGCCTCAGGAATTGGACTACACATTCAGAGAACGCTGCAAAGATGTGTTGCTGCATGAAGGCTCAGCACTTACAAATCAGGAGATACTGGAGATCTACCCCAACGTCTCTCATTCTGGAGGTACAGCTAAATCTGGAATACCGTAGCTCTTCCAGATCAATTCTAAGAGCCATTGAGATTTCTACAATGAAGGGTGGGGAAAGAAAAAAAGTTAGTTAAGTGAGTAGCACCCAGGTCTCAAATGGAGAAGTAAAATGATACTCCTAAGTCACTGCCAAAGTGAACGCATGGATTGGTTGTCTTAAAGCTGTGCTGCCTTACAAAACAATGTGCAAACTGATGCAAGCCCAAAGATGCAGTGGCTACAAGAGAGACATGAGTGGCTAAATAGTACAGCACAGTAACAAAGGACTCATGAAACCTCTGTTTTGCTGAGGTTCACAGTGCTCTGAGATACAGCTGTGGATTTATCACCCCACCTTCCTGTGCCTCTGGCTGCCACAAGAACTGCACTTAGCTACAGATAGTTTTGGCAGGTTGCACAGTTGGTTACTGATACTGCCAAAAGCCATCCAGCAACCAGTGGAACACGGAGAGCAACTGCAATCAGCCACTTGCAGCAGCACTGGATCCAGATAGAGTCAGAAAGTCTGCAGGACTGGGAGGCTCCAGCATCACCCTCGGCTACTCAGTCATCTGTGTCACGTGGATGCTGGAGTTCACCAAGGCATTTTTTTATTCCAGGGTGCCCGGAGGTGCATCTCTGAGTGGATTCACACATTCATATTTAACAGCGTGTTCAATAAGCTTCTTCTCTTCTGTACAGCACTTAAGAGTGAGTAATTAAAGGAAATTTTACTGTAGTAGAGCTTCTCATTAGCAACCTAATTAGCCTTCTGAAAATAATTAACATTCCTTTCTATAAAGAGAACAGATGACCCATTACATCCATTAGACAAGCAAAACAAATGCCCAAGGTAAGTGACTTTTTTCAGAGGAAGAGCTTGAGAAGCATCCAGCAATGCCATTAAAAGAGGAAGCAAAGGAGGCACAGATGCCTGTGACTCATGAAGACTACGCTGTGCTTGTGGGTATGCAGGATTGGTGTGTGTCTAGTTGTCAGATGTGTACATCTAGCATTTGCACACAGATATGTTCTTTTATCTGCCTCTATGACCTGCTGATAATCCATCAGCTGAGATGCTGAAAAATGTGGCACCCCATCTTTTTTTTTGAATGCTTTCAAATTCAGCCACTTAAGCTCATAACCATCTCTCTCCAAATGCAAAAAAAAAAAAAAATCCCCAAAAGGTCTTCTTTTTTTTTTTTATTTTTTTTCAATAGCACTTCAAAAATTCCCAAATAAACCACAGTTTAATGTCACATGCAGTTCATTTCCACAGCCTACAGCAACAGCTGAAGTGATGGTTAGGAGCAACATGAAGTACCTTCCCCCCAGCTGCAGAGGGTGGTGCTCTGATCAGTTGGTATGTTGAAAGAGTTTGGAACATGTTTCTCAATCAGTACCTGTTTGAAATTGGTGTGGGTGAACAGAGCGACAGCTATCAGTGTTATGGAATGTGTGCGTGTAGAGATGAGAAGAAAACTGAGGATACAAGTCAGCATATCATAGACTGGTACAGCAAGAACTGTGGTATTATGACAGTACTGTCACGTGTGTTGACTCAGCACAGAACAGATAAAGGAGAAACAAGCCATGACAAAAATCAAGCTTCCCAACATCCACATATTCCTGGCCATGCAGTCGCATTTTTCCCATTTCTGTGTTCATACATTTACATTCCCCTGGCAGAAGAGTTGAATACTCGTAGCCTTTAAGTGTGATTACAGTGAGGCAAAGCTCAGCATGCAAAAGCTTCCACAGTTACATCACTATGGAAACCACACATCCACCTCCTGCTCTGTTTGTCTGCTTCCTTATCTGATTTAAAACAAAAAAAAAACAACAAAACACAAAACAAAAAAAAAAAAACCCTATTTTTTCCAATCTCCACACTTCTATCCAGATCACAGGAAGACAAACACTTTTTACCTGCCTCAGGAAGAATACTTTCTTCCTTCAGAGCCACTCTGTGAAAGGCCCCACCTCTCCACCTAGCTGGGCAGACTTCCACCAGAACACTTACTCCACTTCTTTCAAAAAGCACTCTCCAAACCCAGGCTGGGATTTCAGTTCTGTTTCCCACCTACAACTTCCCTCAGCTTCTGGACTAGGACAGCCTCAGAGGCAAGTGACTTTTAGGGCAAATTCAGTGAGAAGGCTTACATTGAAAGCTGAAAACTGTTCTGGAGCTATAGTGTCTTTCCTAGATTGAAACATCCAGTTTCTTTCCTCAGTGCTCATTTTTGTGGAAGAACATTCGAATTGCTCTAAAATCAAGGTAGATGACTTTACTAGGCAGCTGCAAACACAAGGGCTGAACTGTTGCCAAAGAAGCCCATTACTTCTGCAGAAGTTGCTGGTTAAAGGTAACTTTTTCCATGCTAACAGTCTAAATCTCTCAGCAAAAGCCTGACAGCCAAGAGCAAATCTGGAAGACACAAAAGAAAAATGGGGGACAATACTTAGAAGTGCGAAATAAGGTGTGCATTCTGCAGCCCAGGTATGTGAAATGGCTGACAGAATCTTCATACTAGCATGTCAGAGAGGGTAAATTCTCCCTTGTGTCTAAGTATGTGCATTTTGTGGTGAGGAATAGCCTTTGAAAAAATCTTCAGCAAGCTCTTTCCGACCTCCCAGCTCATCTGTCCCATGAGCTCACAGCAGTTCAGAATTTAGCCTTTGTAGTTTCTTAACTCCTTGGCACTTCTCAGCTTCAGCTGCCAACAAGTTTTCCAATCATGGAGCAAATGCCCACTAGTAAATGAGTTGAGAAAAGCTATATATTTTACAGCACGTAAGCACCCTCTTCTATGCTAAGGTACTCTGTAATGAAAGAAAAGTCCAGCTGTGCTCAGAGGACTTTTGGCAGATGACAGTCTGGCTTCTCAGTAGGACATAGATAGAAACAACCTAACATAGCATAAATTCTCTTTAAAAACAAGGCGCAGCCACTCTAAAGGTGCTGCCCCCTACCAGCTTTCACAAAAGGGAGCAGTCAGTGCCTCCTTCTTGATCCTAACTCATTTCCCACCCACAGACATTCCAGGCTGCTATCACTAGACACATCCCAGTTCCATTGGTGTTATGGGAGTTCCTACCAACAGCCCACAGAATGAGCAAAGGTTACTTCTGTGTCCTCGAGGATGTCACAACAGTGCATATGACAGGTTCTTGGAGAAGGGCAGCCTGAGTGGAAGAGTGATGCAGTCTGCAGGGTCGTGTCCCTGGGCTCTGGGAGCAGATCTGTCTGCATCCCTAGCAGATGGCATTCTGAGCAGCCCAAGTGGATGGCACATACAGGAGGCATTGGAGGAATTAATTATTCATAGTCTTGTTCTGCTGCCAATGGATCTATGTTTTCTTGTGCCCACACAGTGCTCAGTTTTTGTTTTAACAGTAACAGGAGACGTCTGTGCCTCCTTTGATGGCTCCTGAGGGCAGGCGATAAGCGGCATTTGCTCTGCTCACAGCAATAGTACTATAGAGGAGGGCACATGCCAGACACAGCTTTCTCCAGAGGAATCCGTGGCTGCATCACTGACAGAATGTCTGGGTGCACTCCAAGGCTCGGTCCAGCAGCAGCAACCTTCCTAGGAAGCTGCTGACTCTTGCTTTGTCATAACCTGCAGAACTGGCCTGAACCTTGCTGCTCAAGAGATGACATTCTGACCAACTGAGGGCCTGTATACAACTGCACAACCAACAGCAAGGTCACACGCAGAGCCTGGAGCAGTTGTTGTCCCTGCTTACCCACATCGCTAGCCCACTAGTGTTCAGCCCACTGCTTTTATTCAGTAGCTGTCCAGAACTGCTCCCCATTCCCAGAAGAGGGCAGGGATCAAGCAAGGCAACCTGTGAGACTGGGACAGTACCACATGGGATCCCTTGGACACCACCACTAGGAAAGGGCCAAGAGACCCCTGAGACAGAGAGCAGACTATGGTGGAGGTGCTATGTGAATCTGAACATGTAGGTGCTACGCATGGAAAACTCAAAGTGATTTCCCAGTCAGAGAAGAAGTACTGTGCATTACCTACCATGAGGGCCTTAGCCACAATCCAGAAAACAAAACTGTACTGCTGCAAGCTGCACGAGAGCACCTGTACTTTGCCTCCTGCTAGGGCACTGTGCTGCAGAGTACTCTGAGAACGCTGCAGGGTCCAGGGATCGTTGCTGAGGTCCCACAGTGCCTAGCCTGTCTACCAGGATCAATGCAAGTCTTCGCTCAAATATAAAACCTCTCCACTTTGATAGCGTTTTACCCTGTGCAAGTGTAGCAGGCTGCAATAGGTACAGGCAAGAGGAGCCTGTGATCAGCAGAGTAGCACATTGGTGAATCGAGTGCAGAGGTTGCACTGTTCCTCAGGGACAGGAATAGACTCCGCATCATCTGACTCACACCTGTGCAGAGAGCAGCCCCTGCTCCTTACCTACTGCTCTTCTTTAGCTCAGGCAGTGCTCCACTGTCCTGATTGCTGTGACTTCCTCAGACTATCTGTGGGTGAGGTTTTAAAGTGACAATAATGCTGGAATAAGCTCGGCAATATAAATTATGAGCGATCAGAACAGTGTGACATGAAGCAGACAGAAACCAAGGGCAATGCATGCAAACAGCAACCTTACTCATGCTTCCAAAAAGCAATTTGCAGGTGGAAATAATTTCACCTCCTGCCCACACTCACCCATTCTACATATCTGCTGTGCTGCAAGCCCACTCCTGCCTTCTACCCCCCAGCCCTACCTGTTGGGAGGGATCCGGCAGCTCTCCCACTTTGGCCAGCTCCCAGTTCACAGCATCCGTGGTGAGGCCAGGCTGTCCCCGCAGGTCCGAGCTGCTTCAGAGAGCTGCTGTCTTCGAGACAGGAGTGTGCAACCAGCAACTAGCGTGGCGACCAGGCAGCCTTTGTAAAGCAAAGCAGCACAGGTTAATGTTAATGCAGCACAATGTGAGAGAGGCTTCCAACACCCAAAGAGCAACGTTTGTATCTCAGCCCTGGCACCTGGCTTTGTGGACAGCCAGCCTCTACCAAGTGCAGGTGAGTGCTGCCCCTGTCCCAGTCCCGGGCTGGCTGCTGGCAGCCACTCCCCAGGCTGGGCTGGGTCCTTCTGCTCTGCACTGTCCTTCTGGATCCCTGCCACGACAAACATGAGGAGCATGGCTCTAGAGCCAATGACCAAAGGTTCCTCACCACTGTCATCTCAAACAGGGGCTCAGTTAACCATCAGAGGATCTACCAGAAAGTGTTTGCTCAGTTTGTTTTTCCTGCCCATCAACCATTTTTAATTTGTTAATTTATTTTTAAGTAAGCTGCTTTTCACCCCAATCCTCCTCCTAAAACTGCCTCCCTATCTATCCTCTAACCACACATTCCTTCCCCTTCCTTTTCTGCTCCACACCTTCACACAGGCAGGCCTTTCGAGCCCCCAGCCTGTTTCCCCCTGCCCTGGTGAGGAGGCTGCCACCTGCCCCCACATCAGGCCCAGGCTGTGAGCAGAGCCGCATGCCTGAGCTGCCCTCCCCTTCTCAAGCACTGTCGCTCAAGGTGCCACAGTGCTGCTTTGCGCAGAAGTCACACATTGAGGTGCCAGTTCCAACACAAAAATATCCAGCACGTACCCACTTCAGTCTCACAGATCTCACACTCTGAAGGCTTGTCTACACACAGCAATTTTCTAGATTAATGGCACGTGACGAAGTTACAGAGCAAGAACACCTATGTGCCAGATTGCATAACAAACAGGATCTTCACATTATCACAGAACTGCAAGGGTTGGAAGGGGCCACAAGAGATCATTGAGTCCCACCCCTCTGCTAAAACAGGTACCCTACAATAGATCACACAGGTAGGCATCCAGACGGGTCTTGCATATCTCCATAGAAGGAGACTCCACTACCTCTCTGGGCAGCCTGTTCCAGCACTCCATCACCCTTACCATAAAGAAGTTCTTCCACGTGTTATTATGGAGCTTCCCACATACAAGTTTTAGGCTATTCTCCTTGTCCTGTCGCAGCACCAAGAACTGCCTGGCCTCATCCATCTGCACCCCACCTCCTTTAGATATTATAAACATTTCTCAAATCCCAATGAATGTGGAATTTTGGGCAGCTAAATCCAACAGTAATTCAAGAGAAACATTTTCTCTTAAAAACAAAGAAACATCATACAAACAACAATAGAAAAATTACACCGTTTGCCTTTAGATCACACTGAACTACAAAAACATCCCAATAAAAAAATGCAGATTAAATAACTAATCCTCCCCCAACAAAATCTTCCCACCAAGATTAGCGGAGTGATGAATAGCATAAAACCACTAATTAAATCAATGTAACATTGGTATCATGAGACACACCAAGCACTTCCTGCACGTGCACTGATGTTAACGTCTGCTTTGGAGCCTCTCTTACCATGAGGAATAGCTGCTATTTTAACAGCCAGGTACTTATACGTCACATTGGAAAGAGCGACTGTTGTTTATTTGCTCTCATTTAAATTGCTCTAAACTTGATGTTCCTGTAAGTTATTTGCACGTATGCTATTTTCATTGTACGCGTTTTGTTACAGTAGAGTATTGGTAAGCTATTTATCAGATGCTTGCATACAAAACTTCAAACAGTATTGGCTAGAAATGCATTTTAAAGAACACTGAGAACTCTTTTTACGTAGTCAGATCTATTTGACTATAATTTGTTTTGTAAAAGAGTGAAGAACAAAATGATACAAAATAAGCAGCTGTAACACTCTTGACTCCTTCAAGGCACAAACCTGAAGACCAAAAAACACACCACTGCTTTTAAACCAGGAGCTGAGCTCTGGGTCACTTGTTTTTCTTCCCATCTCTGAACCCAGTTAATAAACACATACACCCACTGTTTGCCACGAGGCTGGGCACACCCTGGAAAAAAAACAAAGTACATATTTGAAAGGGTATATTTATTGCCAGATGAGTTCCATGTATCTCGAGGTGAGCACTCTGTCCTCACTCAAAGGTTTGGCATGGGAGTGAAGGAGAGAGCGGAGCTGAGAAGTTCTCCTGGCAGGGGGACAACACTGGGACAGCTCTGTCCTGTCCTGCGCCTTGCTGTACAGCTCAGCCCTTTTGCTAGCACCAGCCCTACAGCCGCCTACAGCGTCACAGAAACTCCAGTCAAGGGATTTGTCATTCATCTGAACACTGCTACCAAAAACCTCCCTGTACTCAGCCATATCACCTCCCAGATCTGGCTCTCAGGTCTCCACCCGGCAGGAAAGAGATCCTTTTTTTCAATAAGAAAAGCAAACAAAAAAGCCACCTTCATTTCTATAAGCTCAAGATGTTTGGGAAACCATAGCTTTAGTTGCACGTGTATCTACACTTGAAAGAAAAAGAAACCCTTTGTTAGCAAAGACTGTGCCGTAACATACGAGCAGAAATGTAGCACTGAAGATAAAGGCTTGACCTTGGAGTTCACAGCACTTTGGCTGGTCAGAAAAGGTCACATAAATGATAAGTGAACTTTTTGTGCTGAAATGCTAATGATTAAAAAGGTGTAATGTTTGTATTAGCAAAAATCAACAACTACAACAAATATTCAGCAGTGGTGCGGCCATTCAAAAAAAAGAAAGAAAGAATATGAAGCCCACTGTTATGCTGGACTCGGGCTCCTGTCAGCAGGCAGGGGCTGCACTTCAGTAAGTGAAGGAGCAGCACTCATGCAGTGAGAACTGGATGGAAATGAAATTCCTGGCTGCCAAGTGGCTACTTGTGTATTTCTTCATCTGTTTGCTTATGCCTTTTCATGATTTGCAAAGTGCACTTGAGAAGAAAACTCAGGTCCATGCCACTACCTGGCAATTAAACTGAGATGTTCCACCAACTGAGGAGCTCCTGAGCAGCTCCCAGACTCAATTTATCTGAAGCAGAAAGCAAACAACTTCTCAGCAATGCACCCCGCCCTCTAACCCCTGCAAGACCTCCACAGAGGGTGATGCAGATGTCACCCAAACGAACCCCAGCACGCCCTTCCCTCTGTCCTTTGACTGGGGTTTCCAACTGCGCATGGAGCAGCCAGGCTCTGGGATCCCCAAACTCAAGGCACTTAGAGCACAGAACATGGCACTCCCTCCCAAAGGCAGGAGGTAGGGCTGCACCATCCCATGAGATGATGTCTGGGCTGGAAGAGGAGCACGGCAACAAGGTTGCAAAACTCCACAAAAAGTAGCTTTCAGCCATCTGCAAAAAGAAAAACAAAACAAAGCATCTCCAAGGTCAGGAGCATCCTTTCCCAAACACCTTCACATCAGCCCACTGTGGCTTCTGGAAGGCCTCTGGTCTCAGATTGCTCCTAGAAGCACTGGCACCCGCGAGCACTGGAGAACTCGGGCAGGTGCTCCACAAGCCACAGGAGCTGCAAATGCTGCTGTGGATGCTTACCAACAAGAAGCAGAATTTTAGAATAACCAACAAGAGTCTATTTTGTTGCTGTTGCAGTTACCCTGCAGAATTTCTAAGACAGATCCTGTGATCTATTAGGTAGTCAGGTTTCAAACAAAATCCCCTAAATCTGCCTTATGTTATTGGAGTCCTACTTACTGTTTCTCCATGCACACTTCACTGCTGATGTTCCTGCCATTCCCTTCTTGCTAAGACAATGAGAACGAACCAGCTGGCTCTGCATACAGGTTCTTGTGCATTACTGCATCTCTCAACACTCAGGGCAAATGGGTCGCTGTGGGTGTTCAAGGTTTCCCACAGCTCGACACATTTCCCTGCCGTGTGCCTTTTAACATCAGTATCTCACCCATTTTCTTACTTCTCATGTTCCCAGGGATGAGCTATGGCCTGCTCTTTACAAGCTGGTGAAGACCAGTGGGAGAGAATAGCTGTTTCCTTATATACACACTTACTTACACTTCATTATTTTGAACAGCTCATCTAACATTTGTTCTGTCGCTTTCAGGTTCTGTGAGTACATTTCTGTAAAACCACGGTCAAACCTGACCTCACAATATGGCAGTCAAGCAAGAGGGGAGTTAAAAGGAGCAACTCTCACAGAACTCCACCTACACGTGCTTCATGGAGAAGTATAGAGCATGTTACATCATGAAAGCGAAGTCACTGGCTTTTTGGCAACTGAAGGCAGGGTACAGTTGCTTAGCAATTTATCTGATTACCATTTTTCAAGTATCACATGCACACTTAGAGACGTTGCATAATAACGTCTCACTTTCATGTTTCCTAACCCAATTAAAAAAAAATAAATCTACCAAAGTTCTACCAAAATTAATGGCTATAGCTTTTCTGGCAAAAGAGAAAGGACAAGATAGTAGCTCAAACGCAAGTTGAAGCATTAATATTCCTGAATATAAGTGGCTTTCAGAATGTCTCTATGCAAGCATTTTATTTTATCTACTTGTCTGCAAAATGACACTAGTAATTCCTCCTTCACAGAGAGGCACCAAAATTCATTAAGAACAGTAAGATGAAAGATGCTGAGGAAGCATTGTAGTTAGCACTTACAGCTTATTTAGTACTCCAAACATTGCTAAGCCCTGGTCCGAAGAGCAGCAAATTCTAATCACTGTCATGACATTGTTAGGGAAACAAGGACTGTCCAGTCTCACACCATGCAAATTACAATTCTATCACGAGAATCTGATACTTTCACTATCTAGGAAAGAAAAAAGAAAACAAAACCCAAAATTCTCCCCACTCCACGGTCCATACCCCAACCTGAGGCTACAGTACTAAGCACTGCTGCAGCTCCTGGAGCTGCTATTACAAAAAAGCAGAGGTAAATCAGAACATGTGCATACATGGCATTTTTAGAAAAGAACATGTTGTACCTATTGATCTACTCTTTGAAAACCTAATTACGCTCTAGTTAATCTATGAAAGAATTGAATCTTTAGCTGCCTTTACAGTGAGCAGCAATAGCTAATAATACAAATATCAAAACTAGGCATTGTTTCCAAAAGGTTATAATCAGCTCTAAAAAGAACTTGCACCATAGAGATAGATCTTTTGCACATCCACAAGATATATTCCATTAAAACATAAAGTGTCTACTTTATATATGCACCTCTGTCTTCAACTGCTCAGAAAGCAGCTCAGCTGCCTGGGGCTCCACTTACAGCACATAGTCTCTGTCAGCTGAAGTGACCAAAGGTGAAGTTTTGGAAACCCAGTATCTCATCCCCATGGCAAAGTATTAACCCGCAGTGAAAAACCCCAAGCAAGGACAGCCAAGCTCTATGCTGCTACCAAGTCATTATCTTACCTTCACCACAGTTCCTCTCTTGCTAGTAGACATTACAGCAATTTTATAAACTCTGCCCTACATCCTGCAGCTCTTGTGCAAGTCCACGACCAATTAAAGGCTTAATAGAGAGACCTGCTTTGGAAAGACCTGCTGGATCAAAATAAACCCAATCACATGGCACCTATCGTGCCGCTAGTGGAAACCATATGCACATTTTGAAAACACCAGGCATCACAAAAAGAAATCATTCCTCTCCTGGGACATACTGGAAACATCCTTACCGTGAGCCTCAGCCAGTCCAAGATCCGAGGAGGACACCTCGGCTGAAGATCCTGCAGGCTGTGCACACCCACCTCTGCCAACACCACCAATCGCAGCGAGAACCCACCCCACCTAGAGCTGCGTATGGATGCAGTTCAGCCAAAAGTTCTCAGCCAAGATTAAGCTGATGGAGCTGGATGAGTCTGACCATCTCCCACATATATATTCTGAGTGAAAACAAACCAAGGAAAACAGTGAACCCAGCAGGCACTTGGGAGCACGCTGTGTCACAGCTGTCCATACTAGGAGAGAGCTTCCCCCTTTCAGAAATACCTTGTCATCTCCCACATGAGTCAAGAAGCGCAGCACAGTGCCTGGCAGCAGCCCCGGTGCAGGCTCAGCACCAGCGCACCTGAGCACAGGGCAGCTGGGAAGGAGCCCTCCCTGCTTCGCCGTTCGTGCTATCAGCACTTATCCAATGACTCCTAATGCTTGGATCTTATGCAATGAAAGCAAGACGGCACACATTTGTGTAGAGAAGATTCTCTCTGTAATCTAATCCAGCTTTGACAGAAGCCTGCGAGGGCGGAGGGGGTTGAGATAAGGTTGTGGCAAACTTGTGTGCTGGCAATAAAAATCTAGAACAAAACAAAGGTAACAAAATGCTACTCTCTTTTATACAGACCAATTAGACGCCTCTGAACTCAAACATGAATGACAATCTCATTCAGATATGCCTACAAATAAACTTCTAAAGCAGCTGAACTTTTACTTAGCCTATGGGGAGACATTAAAGAGCAGTATACACCTGCAGGTAGATGCCCTTCAGCTTTGTTTTAGACAGCCCATGAAGTGTCTAGGCTCTATCTTGCACCAGATCTTATTGGGAGCACCATTTACCACCAGGAACTCTGAGTAACCAGAAATGAGCAGAGATGTTGGTCATCTGTCCAGAGAGCCAAAGCCTTCACTAGCCTTGTTCTGGCTGCCTGCACACTCCTTTCACCAAGTGCTCAGATGCCATCTGGATGCTCCTGTTTCACGTGTTGTCACAGAAACGCAAGGACCCGTTACTTCTGCTGTACAATGTGAGACACTTCCACTCCCTGCCTGGTCTGCACTGAGTATCTGAACACCCTGGCCTCCAGCAACTCTCCAAAGCCTTCACCTGGAGGTAGGCAGAATTCTGCAGGGAGGAGTGGGGCCTTTTCCTGCCTCCTGCTGGCAAACAATTTATCCAAGTAATTGACCCATTTTCTACAGAATAATTAGCCCAGGGGAATGATACATTGCTGCCCTTTAATTAGTCATGTTGGTAGCTCTCTTGTTTTACCTTGCAATAGCAGCAGCCCAAGACTAGGGGAAAAACAATCCACAAAACTAAAAAAAAAACAACAACTTGATTACATTTCCTTAAACACAACATCATTAAATGCAACCCAGAAACAAAGAATCCTAATGCAGAAATACCAACAATAAAGTTTCCCATTTATTCTGCAATTCCCAGGCCAGCCATCAGGACTCCTTCATACCACTGCATTGGGCTTCTCTTCTCTGGACGTTCTCCCAATTGCTTCTCTTTCATCTTCCATGACCAGAAATCCCTGTGCTGGCTCTTGGTAGGGCCATCACCTCCTCTCCCACCTCCCCAGACCTCCTGCTGCAATCAGCCTCACCTGGCTCACTGCTGGTGCTGCAGAGGAAAACAAGAACTGCAATTATGGGGTGAGTTGGGCACTGAGAGAGAGCACCCTTCCTACACAGCACAGGGACCACCCACAGCCCAGTAGTGTGAGAACTGGGTGCAGCCATCACTGTACCCAAATGAATGATTGATGTGCATACCTCCAGGACACTGCAGCACAACACACCCTCTTGTTGTGAAGGAATAAGCAGACTAACAAATTAAAAGGCCAAGGGGATCCTGCATCTGCACTCCTTAGGACTTCTTCAAGATACTGAAGTACAGATCTTAAAACGGTACCTCAGTCTGAAGGCTCCAAACACTGCCAGATCCACCACCTCACTTAAAGAACCCTTCCCCACTTGCTTCAAGGTTAAGTTCATCTTTACCTCATGCTATGACACTGCCAGTAGAACTGCAGAGCCCCATGGCCAGTTCATTCCTATGCAGGGCCCTGTGCTGCCCTCAGCCCCCATCCACCACTGCCCACTACTCACACTGTGGCCCTTGGTCCCGTCCTGCAGCCTGCCCTGGGACCCACCACCCAGAGTCCCAAAATCAGACCTCCCCAGAGGAAGCTGCTTCAGCCTCCTGCCCTGCAGCAGGATCATGCTCAGAGGCACAGAAAACCATATGTACACTGGAGCACCACAGTTTGGGAGCCCTGAGGGTGCACCGTGAGCATGGCGGTGCCCTGTGGGCAGGTCTCCTGCCGTGCGTTCCCCAGCACCTGCAAAAGTGGCCACAGAGGCTCACACCTGCATCTCAGTCACTCCTCTTTTGCTATTTCCTATGGACGTTTCATCTTTTCAGGGCTTTCTATTTACCCCAAGCAGCAGCGAGCCCCGTTCTTGTGTATTGATGCATCAGTGTAGTCACGAGCCACAAGCAACACTCTGGGCAATCCGGTCCCTTTGCAAATCCTAACATAAAGCTCCATCCTGGAACTGCCACCACCTCACCTGCAAATATCCCCATCCCCTGCAGGTACTGTTCTTCCTGGGAAATGGGAGGGAATCGGAACAAACCTGCCAAGCACATGATGCCAGAGAACAATACCAAACATTTCATCTGATAGAGATGCGCTGCCTGCGCTGCATGATTTGGGGGACTTCGCACGTCGGCGCTCCCCCCGATGCGGAGCTCCCCGGGAAGCCCCGCGTTGCACAGCGGCTGCCGGAGAGGGGATGCGGGGGGGAGGGCGATCCTCGCTGCGTCCCCGCGCCGCAAAACCAGGGGACAGTATTCAGAACCCTGCTGCAGGGAATGGGCGGGAGGAAGCACAATTTCCATTTCGCAAAAAAATTCAGCTGTTCTGGATGTTTTCCATACCAAAAATGGAACAAGAGCAAACATCCCGAGACAGATTTAAATGTAAAAGCAGCGGCAGAAGGATATCCTCGTTTCAGCGGTGCTGATATCCGGGTTCCTGACCTCCCGGCACCGCAGCACGAGCGGTTCCCGGGGCTGCAGGGGAATCATTGAGGGGGCTGTCGGCCCCTACCCCCGGCCCTGTTCTGGGGGGCTGAACACGGATATGTCCTTTCCCAGCACAAAGAGTGCTGGGATACAACCGATACAACAGAGATATTTCACAACACCTCGCTTTGTTCAAAACACGTCACATCTCAAAAGCAAAGCAACCCCAGCCTCCCCATCTCCGCAGCTCCCGCCGCGCCCCCGCACCACCGCACCCCCCGACCGCGGCGGCGACGCTCGGGGTCGCGGCTCCCTACGGCCGCTCCCGAGAGGGGGCGACTGCGGACCCCGCCGCCGCCGCCTTTGTCTGCCCGAGACCGGCGCCCTCCCGGGTACGCTACGGCCGCCCGCCGAGCGGGAGGCGCGGCCGCGGCCCGGAGGTGCAGGCGGCCCTTGCCACCGAAGCGAAAGCGGTAGAGCCGGGCGCCCGCCCTCCGCCCCGGGCGGCGCATCTCCGGCCGCGGAGAGGCCGCCGGGCGCCGGCGCGCGTCCCGGGCAGGTGCCGGGCGGCCGCCGCGCCCCACCCCGCCGCGGGCCCTCGCCTCACCGGGGTCCATGGGTGCCCTGCGACCGGCGACGGCGAGAGGCGAAGCGCGCCCGTGACACTCGCCCGTAGTGTGGATGCGGTTGCAATCTGCACATGCTCGCTTCCGACAGCCGGCCTTCCCCGCCACCTTCCCTTAACTCTTTCCCAACTGCCTCGCACCGCCTTCCGCCCCTCCCGCACCGCGGAGGGGCTGCGGGGTCCGGGCCCGGAGTTCCCCGCACGGCGCGGTGGGTGCGTGCCGCAGAACCCGTCTTTCGAGCCCTCCGGGAGCCCTCCCGAACGGTTGCTCTGCGGGTGCGCGGTACCTGCGGTGCGGTCCTTCGTATTTACCCTTCCGAAGGAATCCGTGCCCGCAGAGCCCGGGGTGGCCGTGGGGCTCAGCCTGAACCGCCTGCTGCTGGAGCCGGGAGCGGAGGGACGTCTAACACCACTGTCAGGGGAAATATTTGTCTGTAGCTTAGCTGGTAAAGAGTGAAACATAATCCCTGCAAGAAGTGTTTTTCTACCCAGAAGGATCTCTCCAGATTGAAAAAAAATGGCCTAAAGAAGGAGAGTAAGAAAATAAATTTAAGGCATAAATAGTAGATCAGATTAAATTCCTCTCTCCTTCTGCATTAACTCTTCTGCAGCATGAGAACATGGGAGAGTGAAGTGCCCTTCTCTAGGGTTAGAAACCAGGAGACTGCAACCTCGAGCCAGAGCTGAGGAGCAGACATCTCAGTGCCCTGGGGCATGGTGCGCGACACAGTCACATGCCACCACTCACTTGGGAGGGCTGTGGCAGGCAGCAGCAGGTTAACGTGGTACCTTTTTCCAGGAGGGAAAGAGATTTCTGTGTCTGTTACTTTACAGAGAAAACCCAATGTGTCATGGGGTAGGAGGCTACCTCCAGTAACACGATCAGGATAGGAAGTGTCCTGGCCATTGGCCCCATGTTTCAGCCACCTCATCTCTGAGCTCCCCACTCTGCCCAGGTCACTGCTGCACCTTCTTTCTCCCAGCCCCCACGTCTCCTGCTCTCCCCTGTCCCCTGCAATACCAGGAAGGATGAGCTCATGCTTTCAGCAGAATAAAGATGTTTTCATGACCTCTGCTTAATGATTCAGCGGTTCAGAGATCAATAAAAAACAGTCACAGTGACGAGGCAGCACCAGACCTCAGGCAGCGCAGGCCTGAGGCGCTCACAGGAATGGGTTCCCAAAAAGCCTACCCATAGACTGGTGCCACAGGTGCTGCATGGATGCACAGCCCCGTCATGGCCCTGGTGCTCCCAGGGCCCACTCGCTGTGCACAAAGAGCTGTGGCTGCTCCGAGGATGCCACACTGCAGCAAAGCGCCTGTCAGAGCGTCACCTGACCACACAGTCTCTGCGAGAGCTGGAGTGTCAGAAAGATGGAGTGTTTTAAAGGGGAAATGGAGAATAACACGGTTAGCCCTATCTCAGCCAAGCTGTGCCAGCTGGGATGGTAGTGCATGTGCCAGTGACCTCAGGCTGGCTTAAAAAGTAAGCTGTTTGATGTATATTTCAATAGAGCTGGGAAGGAAAATGCTAAGATACAACAACTTGTGATGTTGTAGAAGCACCTTTAAAATACTGTATCTGATCAAACAGTTGCAGAGGATAGCAGTCAGATGCTGTGCTCATGTATTTACTGTGAAACAGCATCCTTAAGAAAGTGCTGAGCATTGTGCCAGAGAGAGAGCGTGAGAGAGATCATTTCACAGCATGAGGCAGCACGAATATTTCACAGCATGAGAGGAGAGAATGCCTTACGAGGAGCAGAGGAAAGGTCAAAGAGAAAGGAAGATGAGAGATAAGAAATACTCACCTACAAGAAGGAGAAATCAACAGCCAGAGACAGACCAGAATAAATGAGAAGCACATGTAGGGAACATATAAATCTGCATTCTCCTCCCTAGCCACAGTAAGCAGGGAGGAAGGAGGAGGAAGGAGAGGCTCCAAGAGTAAGGAAGAAGGAAGGAGGAGGTGGCAAGGCATGGCTGAGGGGGATGGAGACTAAAGCTGCTCTGTGCTAAGTGGCAGGTAGGAGGGAGACAGCCAGAGAGCACCTGGGGTGGTGCTGAGTCCCTCAGGCTGGTCAGGTCCCTGCCTGTGTTTGCTGGTCAAGAAAAGCTATTGTTTCTCCATCCAGCTTCCCTTCTTTTAGCCTGAGCTAGTAATGCTAATGGAACTGAAATTATAAAATGGTAAAATATGGAGTAAGATGAGCCTAGAGGCATAAGGATCTCCAGAATTGCCCACTCGTGTGCTCCTTGAGGGCCAGCCAGGAGCGAGAACTGACCTCTGCAGAATGTCCAGGCATGTGCAGGAAGCTGGCTCTGAGATGGAAATTTGCAGTGACCTACAGATGCCCCAGCACCTCTGCAGCCATTTATGAACAGACAGCAGAGATGCAGCTGATCCTACTAACCGTCTTACAACTGTGCCGTGACTGCCTTGCCTTTATCTGGAAAGAGAGAGATCATACACAGCACCAGGCCTACATCCTCTACATGTGCATCCAGAGCCAGAGGTCTCTGCACCACACTAGTTCTGGAAAGATTTATTCATTTGGTGCAGTATCGCACCTGAACATATATGTAAATGTCCCCAAAAGTGGCATAATCACATCTGCTTGGTACCACAGTCTTGTCTTCAGGCACACTCAGAGTACAGCATGGACATACTCAGGCTTGATCCTCACTCACCCACCCCAGTCTAGTAGAGCCTATTCCCCCACTCTAAATTGTGTTTTATTTATGGTAAAGTTGTCAGACTGAAAAAAAAAGGATGACTTATTTCTTCAGAGACTCTTAATGCGGTCATTACAGCAGTGTCTGAGCACATCACAAATACCACTGTGAGCACAGTCATCCCCAGTGAAATCAGATCTCACTCTGCAGACTGGGATTTGAAGCCCAGACATGTCACAGTCAAAAGGAATCATAAATTTGAGCCTTGTCGCATCTCTTTTCCTCCAGAGATTTTTGCTTCATACAGCTTTTTATATTTACATTTCATTTGTGAACACTCATCCCTTCTGTAAATCCAGCCTCAGTGTGGAAAAAAAAAAAACACCTGGGAAATCAGGAACTCCCATTTTTCTTCCACTTTAACTCCATGACTTATCTGCTATTACTTCAGAACTAATGGAGGATGAAACTTCCCAGAGAAAAAACTTTTCCAGAAAGAAGTTTAACCACCTGGCTCATGAAATTGCCCTTCCCCCCCCCCCCCCCCCCCCCGCATGCCTGAGGATGTCCCACAACTGGGAATTGAGAATTTCATCTCTCTGGGTAAATAAACACAGAACATCTCCTGTCTATTCTATGTAATAAATCCCTCCCAGATGTACATTCAGAACAGGCTTCTCTGTCAGGATTGTTCCTCAGTTTTCTGAAGCTTACAAAAAAATTGAAGAAACTCATTTCTCCTTCCCCCCCCTTTTTTTTTGAGGGGTCCCCAATCACTGTGTTGCCACATGTTCTCCAAACAGAAATAGGAAGTGTTTTAAGAAGACTACCACAAGTCACGTGCTGTTTCAGAGCAGACTAACCTACTTTATTTTTGTGTTGCTTGCACAGGTTTTAACGCTTTAACATGGAAATTGCTTCCTCTGTCTTCTCGGTGAAGGTAAAAAAAAAAAAAAAATAGCCATAAGCCATGAATTTTCACTACCTTCACACTTCCAGGGAGTTCATTGAAGAAAATGTAGTTTTTCCAAATGTGAACCCTTCGAAGTGGAGATTTCCTCATGCAATGCGTTCTTTTTATTTTATTTTATTTTGCATGTAGCTGGACTTCTTTTTTATTTTTTCCACTATAGGCCCTATCAAAGCACATTTGCTTTCTTCTCCTGACTTCAGGCACTAACATCATACCATTCCTGACAAGGTCCATGACCTACAAAAGGACTGAAATAGGACTTAGGTCCACACAGGTTCTTATCATCTCTCTGCCCCAAATTCAAGGCCTTTAAACACCTGTTAATTTAACCATGTGCATGCCAGGCTCTGCAGTGGGACCATATGCCACACTCTGCCAGTAAGGTGCAGCTCTTGGGGTCAGCCTCAAAACGCTGGAGGCCAGGCAGCAAACTTCAAAAAAGACAGATGTTTTTGAAAATGCTCCCTTACTCTCTGAAGCTGTTCAAATAATTCCCTTCCACGAGCCATAGTAAAGTTTGCATGCTTTGGGCTACATGCTTTTTTAAAAGGCATTCTTCCCACTGTAGATACCTACAATACCTTATGGCTTAGTTTCAGAGGTGAGCTCTCACTATGCAGGATGGGTAGGGAAGAGATCCTACCATAGTGTTACATGGCAAAGCATTCCTCCTGTCCAGGCAGCCTACTTAGGAAAGAGTGTTCCAGTTCAATATGTGCACGGAAAGAATGTTACAGCAGAACATTTGCACAGAAACCAAAGCTTTTGAGTTTCCTCTGAGGTGCTGTTTAGGGACCACCACTTGGGACTGACAGACAAATTGTTTGGTGCTGGTATCCTGCACTGCTGCCATCACCCTTTCAGGTGGACTGAGTAGGTATCAGCCAGAACAGAGCAGCAAGAGCTGCAGAACCAGCAGCAGGCAAGGTGCATCAGGGTACAACTGATGCCTTGCAAAGTAAGATTCTGTTTACCTTTTTTGGAAAAATAAATAAGCCCTTACAGTTTCTATTTTGGCTTCATTGCCAGGCCAGAAATAAATACCACATATGTGGAAATTACAGATCCAGAAAGGTTTGGAGGGATCTCTATTTTCCATTATTTTCCCAGGTTTAACAAATTTCAAACATCACTTTGAAGAAGAGAAAGCTGCCATACAACACTGCACATGCACAGTCCTTCTCAATCCAGTAACTTATTTTGCTGGAAAGCATTGCCCATTAAAAACGTCAGGTGATGGGAGCATTGGAGACTTGGTCTCTGCTTACAGATGTGCTTCAGGCATCCCCAAGGGCCCCAGATTCACCTCTCTGTGTTTGCTTCCCCAGCCATAAACCAAAACTCATTTCCTTTACTCAAAGGCTGAGAAGTATGCCAGTAGAAAGCAGGAAAAGAAAGGAAATGTTATATTCGAAGATTTCTAGAGTGTCTAGAAGCAACCCAGTGCTATCACTTCCAACATATCTTGCAAGTCTGAGCCAGCTAAAAAACAGAAAGAATAGAGAAGGAGCGTGATTCACCTAAAATACTTTTGAATGTCAGTACCAGAGATGGGATAATTATAATAAATAATTTTATTTCATAGAGTACCTCTGGTATGCGTTGTACTGCAAAATGGTTGAGAGACTAAAGTATTT